CACAAAAAATTATTCAAAATTTAAATTCAAGTCTAGAATATTAAAAAGTATATATATTGCAATAAAATTCAAATTCAAAATCAGATATACAGTAAATAAATACAAATACAATATTACAGAGAAAGAGAGAGAATTGTATATATTTTGCAAACAAATAAATATGTTTTTATTGACCAAACGCTTAGCGAAAAGTTGTTCATACCAAAAAATGAAATTTATTTTGCAATTCAAAGTTAAATTTAAAACTTGGAAAAATAAAAGGCAAACATTTGGTGCAAACGTGAAATAAGGATTTGATTTATATGTTCATTGTTTGCATGGAATAACATTTACGTTAATCAGTAAATAATGAAATCCATTATACTTTTTATCGCAGACTTAGTACTCATTCTTATTTTACACACAATTGCATATAATTCTCATTCAATTCAATATGATATCAAACACTTTAAGATTACATACAATTGTGAGCCAATGAGTGGAAAAGTCAATCAAAAAATTTCTAAACATTTCCAGTTATTAACTCCCAAAAGGGATGCCCAGACTCTTTGACAATCCCATATATATTCTTATCAAATGGGTTCATATTTTTGTCGTATAATTCACTGTTTATGACATAATATTAGATTAGGTATCATTTAATTTTTATCATTTTTCCAATAGATGTTGAATGAGAACACAAATGAACACTATTTGTATAGTAATAATATAGAAAAAGTATGTTAAACTACGGGAGCCCTACAATGCTACCAGTGCTACTGATGGTGAAAGTGAAGTAACAAGAGATTTGAGACATAAAATCATAAAAATACTCATTAAAGGCGACGTTCCCCTATAAGAGATATTAAACATAATATTTAAAATGATTTGTGTTGAAAATTTTGGTGATAATTATCAATATATCATATCGTGGTTAAGATATAGAAGTGATTGAATTACTTGTATGAGTCCTCTGCCGGTAATGGTCGAGCAGATAATGGCAATGAAATCTCATATTTAGATAAATTACAATGTATTACAAAAATTATAGCATAACTAATAGCTAAGTGTTATGTGATGTGGCATTCGCTCAGACCTCAGACTGAGTTAGTTTTCATTATAAGTTTTTGTTGATATAAAAGCAAAATTATGGTCACATATGTTAGTGACAAACAGTGATTGATAGCAATAACAAGAAAACGATATATTGTGCGAAAAAATATTGAAATCCCAAGAATTACTTTTGCCATTCAGCTTAGTGTACAATTGAAAACATTATAATTTTGATCATCCCTTCCCTCTACTGTATACTAACTCTATCGAAAATTATCAGCATACATTTATAAGAGTTATTTTAAATCTAAATAGCATAAAATAATTTGATATTTTAAAATATTGTATCAGATTCTAGCAAACATTTGCAATATCAAATAGAAACTTATATAATAACTATAAGTTATATTTAATGATTAATTGAGTAATTAAATAATTAATATACTACTCTAGAATTGATTTGCAAATTAATTAGAAATTTTTGCTAATTAAAATGTATCTTATTGTTTGTATGGTTTGATGGGACAGTTGGGTTTGGATTTGACATAAACCCACACTTTTGTTCAAAGTGACCGAAGTGTGGGAGAAGTCCATTAATTATATCTCATGTTTCATGAATGATGTAAATTCTTATACAATGCACTTCCGTTCACATAAAAATAGAGTCATGAAATGAATCGATAAATTATATTAAAAATATAAATAAATAAGATATTAATATTAGTTGTGTTCAAAAGTCTCATAACATCTGTAGTGTTATGTGATGTGGCATTCGCTCAGACCTCAGACTGAGTTAGTTTTCATTATAAGTTTTTGTTGATATAAAAGCAAAATTATGGTCACATATGTTAGTGACAAACAGTGATTGATAGCAATAACACGAAAACGATATATTGTGCGAAAAAATATTGAAATCCCAAGAATTACTTTTGCCATTCAACTTAGTGTACAATTGAAAACATTATAATTTTGATCATCCTTCCCTCTACTGTATACTAACTCTATCGATAATTATCAGCATACATTTATAAGAGTTATTTTAAATCTAAATAGCATAAAATAATTTGGTATTTTAATAATATTGTATCAGATTCTAGCAAGCAGTTGCATTATCACATTATGACATTTGAAATATCAAATAGATACTTATATAATAACTATAAGTTATATTTAATGTAGAAGTAATTAAATAATTAATATACTACTTTAGAATTGATTTGGAAATTAATTAGAAATTTTTTGCTAATTAAAATGTATCTTATTGTTTGTATGGTTTGATGGGACAGTTTGACATAAACCCACACTTTTGTTCAAAGTGACCGAAGTGTGGGAGAAGTCCATTAATTATATCTCATGTTTCATGAATGATGTCAATTCTTATACAATGCACTTCCGTTCACATAAAAATAGAGTCATGAAATGAATCGATAAATTATATTAAAAATATAAATAAATAAGATATTAATATTAGTTGTGTTCAAAAGTCTCATAACATCTGTGTGTGACTTAAAATGAGAGCAAATATGACGATTCAAGTATTGGAAGCCCTCTATCATCTCATATCCATTTGAGATATACATTGAAATGCTTTCATTTACTATAAGTTTCGAGTATTTCCTTTAATAGACCTCTTGACTGAATATAATATATATTCTAAATAAATATATATAAAAAACTTCTCAAATATACCATTCACTCACATCTGTTAACAAAATTCAATTAAAATATATTCTGTTTATTTGTTTTCTGTGTATTTACTGACAATTTGATGACAAACTTTTAAACAAAAATATCATTTTCTAGTAAATAGTAAAAAAAAGTTGGTTATGTAGAAGTATATGTGATTTATATTTAATAAACTTATTTGTGGTCTCTCTCTCTCTCTCTCTAAAAATAATTTTAAATTCATTAAATGTGTAAACTTTTCTAAAAAAATCAATTTCAACATAGTTAACAGTTTTTCGAAATATCATTTTAAAATTAAATTTCAATTCATTTTTATATTATTTTACTGACTTTTTCTAACATTTATTTTAAGCGACTCTTTCTGTGAATTCTGAATTTTTTATTTCCATTTCTGTGGATAAAAATTTAACTCAAATTTAATTTTGTAGGTTAACCACTTTCGCAGACACAGACATATTTTATATAAAAGTAATTACGAAACTACAAAAATGTTTATCAGAAAAATAATTACTAAAAATAAAAATGAAAAAGTATTCACTTAAGTAGAAAAATGTAAAGATATTATAATTGAATTTTGTAATTGAATAAAAATAAAATAACATTTTATATGTCTATTGCATAAATTAAGTTAAAAAAATATTAGATAATTATAATTAATAAAAAATAAAACTTTAATTTTTAAAAGCAATAGATCTCTAATTGCTATTTCAAAGGCAATTATACACACAATCAAAGCTATAAGTTAGTCATTTAATCTCTAAATAAAAGATTTCACATCAAATACACGAACTAAAAGTGGGATTTGAAAGCGAAATGTCATCTGTTTTGATACTAGTATTCAATAATCTGCTAACACTTCCAACACTTCTTATCATTTGGTCCGGAATTCCCTTTAAAGTGAGAAATCCCTTCAAAAGGAAAAATTATATAAAAAAGAATTTAAATTAATTTCCTTTAGAAATATCATACGAAACGAAAGTATAGACTTTCAAACAAAAAACACCAAAAACTTTTGACTCAATTTCATCATTTGCATGCATTTCATTTAAATTCAATGCCTATGGAAAAGGCAATACAGAGAATAGGGAAATGTGTTGGGAATTGAAAACTATTGCAAAATATGTAATGGATATGAAGTGCAGCGAATAATTTGAATAAATTGGTTAGTTTTCTATGCAATTATTATTATTATTATTAAATGTATTATAATATAGAGAGTGAACAGCAAAGTCTACATTAAGTTAGTGTTTGGTATATTGGGCCGGAGTTGGAGTTGGACTGACTTTAATGTGTTTTGATCGATGGATTTATTCCTATATAATATATAGGAATATATATATAATATATAGATATATATACTATAATACCCTCTCTATTACTGTACTCTCATATAATATACAGTACAACACATTCTTAATAGTGCTCTCATATAATATACACTATTTTTCTTTCATTTTATAACTTTACTGTATATATAATGTGTGGAAAAATTTTCTTTAAAACTCACTTTCGTTTTAGTCTGTAAAACAATTCCGTGTATTATATATAATATAACTCTTATATTGAAAAATATCGGCTCAAACACTACTCTCTAACTACTACTCAACGATAAAATTGATTTTTTTATTCTTTCAAATAAACTATTTTTTTCAAAGATTACAAAAGAATCGCAAACTTTTTTCTCTATAAGAATTCATTATTCAAAAGATTAATAGTTATGCAAAACTGAGAGAGAGAGAGAGAGAGAGAGAGAGAGAGATTAAGAGAGAGACTAGGGGGAGAATATTATTGAACAATAACTCAAAGTTTTTTCAATTGTAATTCAAATGAATTGTGAAAATAAATTAATGAATAAATGAGAGTATATTGTGAGACAAATTCAATGAAATTAGTTTTTATGTGTAATAAAAATGGTTTCAATCGATTGCATACACTGTTAGGTCTGGCAGTGAATGGTTTGGTTGAGTGTATGTCATGTGAACCGGCTATCGATCGGTCGGTTGTGAACCCAAACTCTCGGCTATGATATGAGAGCTGACATCCCATCGGTGAGTTCAACACATACCTTATCGTATGTTTCACTACATTCACACATTTCATACACTTTTTATACATTTGGGCCCATATTTCACTTTACTATACAATATTGCATTCATTTCTGTGATTTTATTTTGCCCCCTATATTGATAACATAGTATATGAATGTAGCCAATGATGTCATAATTTAAAAGGACTGCATTTCATAATCAACACAATTATTACAAAATTCATAATCATTTTAAAGTTAATTTGCATTCATGTGAGTGTATATTAATAGCACATTCATGTGAATACATATTTAAACAATATTCATACCGTATATGCTAAATTTAGTATATAAATTATTTACAAGCAAAGGTGTAACAGTAAATACCCTGTTGACAAATAAAATAATAAATAAATTGTCAAATATAAGGAAAATGAGTGATAAAGAGATGCGAATTGAGACCACTTTCGGACAAATAGGTATTCATTTGCATTATATGCCACTCTTTGGCACTTTTATTGACTATTATTTTGTTTCATTCATTTCAATATGCATTCATTGATCAGACAATTATAAAAAGTTATTTCATTGCATGTTTTCAGCCGTCAAAGTGTGGGGAAATGAGAGCCAACACAAACTCAAACTTCTTTGTGTCCACGGATGGCAAGTATGATATGATATGACAAACCCATGCCATGCCTATCAGTACTGACGGTGTGTTTGTGTCTATGAGGACAACGCCGGCACTTTCGACCGACTCCTACCTCTGCTGGACTTGCAGTCGATGTATGTGTTGGCTGTGGATCTGCCCGGACACGGATTCTCATCGCATTTGCCCGAAGGAGGACTGTATGTCATGACACTTGCGGTCATTTAATCAAAACTGAGTCCATTATTTGTATTATCCATTGTATGAATAGCTATACAGACCTGACATGGGTTATAGAACTGAAGCGAATTGTGGATCACCTAAAATGGACCAAATTCTCGATGTTAGGCCATAGTATGGGTGCCAACGCGTCCCTTCACTTTGCGCTACTGTTCCCCGATTTGGTCGAAAGAGTGATAACTATAGATACTGTAAAACCGGCCGTTTTTCCGGTCACAGAACACGCCTCACGACTCGCTAAAGACATCGACAACTTTCTGACTCTGGAAGAGCGCAACCAACGGCTCAAAAAAGATCACGAATTTGTGTTCACATACGACAGGGCCATCTCAGCCCTCAAAGTGGCCCATTCAGCCATTGGCACCCTTACTGCAGAAGGCGCCGCGTGTCTGCTCAAGAGGGCCACCAAAATCAAGAGACAGCCCTCCGGGGAAACGGGATATGTCTTCACCCGAGACTATAGACTACAGAATGTGATCAACAGGAAGACTGACGGCGAGTCTTTGAAGCACTACTTGTCTGGCATTAAGTGTGAATTATTGATAGTTAACGCCAAAAGTGGTTTATTCACGGATCGAGAGCTGCAGAAAGTGTTTATCGAGATGTACGCAGACAAGTGCCCAAAGTTTGAATACTTGGAAGTGGATGGCGACCATTACGTCCATCTAACCCGTCCTTACGACGTCGCCCCTCATATCAAGCGTTTCTTAAGTCCAGCCATCGATGAACTTAAAGCTACCAATTGATTGATACTCACGAATATTTTTGTACTCAATTATGTAATGAATCTATTTTTATATCAAATGTTTTCTATTTTTTGTTACAAAATAATAAATTTATATTTTAAAATTAATTAAAATGTGAACGGATTGGAAATACAGGTGTTCCTTGGAGTGGAGTTCCCCTTTTCCTTCAACTCATTACATACTCTATTGATTGCCATTTGATTTAAAGTGAACTTTCAGTCAATTAGATATTACTGTTATAAATGAAAGTTATTTAATATTACAGACAATATGTGTCTTAATATTTAATAATATAGCGGTACTTGTATTGAGTGATTTGCATAAAGTGTTGTGTCATGTCATTCCTCTGGTATAACATGATATTAAGCTTTCAATTATAAGGTAATAATAATTACTAAATATGAATACGAGCTATAATTTGGAGTCAATTTAAAGCAAGTGTTGGTGCGTTAAGGGGAACGGTAGTACTAGTCATACAAGTGTTTATATAATAATTAAACTGTTTGGTGATAACGACCCTCTAATGCAAGTACTGATCAATTGATGTGTTTTCTCAAATAAAGCAAGTGTTGGTGCGTTAAGGGGAACGGTAGTACTAGTCATACAAGTGTTTATATAATAATTAAACTGTTTGGTGATAACGACCCTCTAATGCAAGTACTGATCAATTGATGTGTTTTCTCAAACCATATCTCAATATTGAGAGCAAAAAACTAAAATTAAGAAATTGATTATAAATATATAGATAATGAATATAACTTATAATATGATATTTAATTGATTATAACGTGGTTTACAGTCAATACAGTCACCACTCAATTGCATTCAATTGTTGCGCAAAACTCCGATTGACAGCCAATGCACTGTAAGTTTAATGTGACGCTTTCATAGTGAGTTAAGCCGTTCTAAAACTTCATTAATAATAATTGTAGCGTTATGTGGAGCGCAAGAACGGCGTAACTCACGAGAATAGGATCTAACATTTGTCAGTGCATTAAGGATATCGCAGTCGACGTCTGTTTTGTATTGAAAAACAAGTTTTAATTTTAATTTTAAAAATCCTTTTTTGAAAATACAAACAAAACATTGAGTTTTCAATTAGTTTCTCGTATTTTGTTCACTAAATCATGATTTGAGCGAAAGTTTTATGTATTAAATGATTATTATTTATAAAACCAGTGTTTTGTACCACAAATGAAACATATTTTTGTTGACATTTAACGAAGTGATTGTAACAATCGTAATAACTATCTGTCATTAATTGCCTAATCATGACATCACCCGATCTGATCTGCGGTTAACTATCGGTTAAGACGACGTAACCGCTGATGACATGTTTGGCGTAAACCTTGGGATCAAATCAGATGTCACTTAAAATGAGTTGAGATTTCGTTGAGACGTTTGGGTGTCTCAAGAAAGCCTTGAATTGAATTAATTGTTATTTATTTAATGAGATTTTATTTATACAAACATACTATACATTTGTTATACATTTAATAATAAGTTATATAATAATATCGTAATTATAATAAAACAATAATAACTACAATCATATTAATAATACCATTGAATACAATGAGTGAATG